CACGCAGATAGCTGCCCCAAGGGTCAGGGCAGCTGCCTGCTTCTGGCCCCGCTGAGCCTGCCTGGGCATGTGAGGGGCTGTTGGGAGAGGAAGGACAGAAGCCCTGGCCTCTGCACCCTCACCTTCAGAATGACCTTATCCACTTCAGTGCCCACAGGTGCATACAGGATTTTGGGGTTGCTGGTCATCAAGTGCACAAGGAGGCCCAAGTTCCGCTGCTCCTTGCTGGTGAAGCCCAGCGAGCTCATGTTGCCCTGCTTCAGCGCCTCAGGCTCGATTGTCCTGCAAAAGGGGCTCAGGCTGCCAACACGACTCCCCAGCACCCCTCACCACAGGCAGCTCCCACCCCTACCCATGAGGGGACTCCCCACTCAATCTCATGCCAGTGCATGCAGCCCAGCACAGGGAGCTTCCCCCGGGCACGGCACAAGGATACAGTGCAGCATCCATCTCCCACGTGCTCATCAAGGCGTGACTGGGGCCCTCGACCACACTCCCACACCCCTATCCCAGCTGGAAGGTGCCTGGATCCAGCTGCTCCATGCACCAGGGTTCGTACCGGTTGTTGCCACAGAGGATGGGCTGCAGCCCAGCCCAGAGCTGCACAAATGCTGAGAACTGCCCCTGGGGGTTGTCACCCCTGGCTGGGCTCCCCCCAGCACCCTCCTCCTCTACTGTGGTGTTGCTGGCCGTGGCGTTGGCACTGGCCCAGCCAGTGCTGTTGGCAGTGGGTGGCGGGGCCTTGCTGGCACAGGCTCCCCTGGGCAGCAGCTTGGCCAGCGCTGAGAGGATGTTCATGTCACGGAGAACCTTCTCCATCTCCACCAGGTCCTCCAGGAGGGCATGGAGGCGGTGCTGGGCAGCTGTGCTGTTCACCTCATCCAGCTTCAGCTGCAGGAAAGTGGTTACCCATGGCTGGGTGACAGCAGGAGGGGACCACAGGGAATCCCAAGCAGTGGCATGTCCCATTTCTTGATTAAAAGGCTGGAGCTGTGCCCAGCTGGAGCCTCAGGCTCAGTGCCATGCATCCACGGTTATCAGGCAGCAAGAGTGCGAGCAAATGCTGGCAAGGTCTTGTTGGGGACATGAGATGTCTCTCAGGCAGGAGGGGTGGCCACAAGGGACATGTCAGACTCAGGTGAGACAAGGCAGGGGACCTCAGAGCCAGCCTTGGGGAGCTGTGCCACCAGGGACACTGCCAGTCCAAAGGAGAGGACCTTGCAGGGACATGCTTGGAGGATGCTGGGGATACCCAGGCCCATCCATTGGGCAGCATATGAGCAGGCGCAAGGAGGGGAATCATCTGGGGTCCTGCTGTGGGACTGAGCAGAGGGTGCCCATATGGGGTAAAGGGGTGATCAGGAGGGACCAAGACATGTAACAGAGCACCCTCCCATCACCACACACCCTGGTGAGGAGGGAAACCCAGTCCAGGACATGTCCCC